ACCTTGCACACATTCGTGTCAAATTTGATACATTATGGTTTGTTTAATCCCCGCAGAGTTTCGTCAAAAAATTTCAGAACTTAAGGCACTAACGAAAATTTAGACAGCATGAAGTTCTGTGATGACAGTTACTTAAGGAGGGGGCCGGCTTTGATTTAGCACCCCTTCATCCCACTAAGAATTAGACCCTAGCGATTGTGACAGCCTTGTACTCTCTTGTAGGATATCGCGATACCTCCATTCAAGGCTATAATCCACAACGTGAAAACCGCCATTACTCCAGTGTCATGTCTTGGTTCACATAGAATGAATCCATTGTGACGGGAAACTTCACTTCGGTGGGCTAACTTACCGTCAGAACTTTCTTTCAGGTTAAATACTGTGAAAGTGCTCCGTTGAACTCCAAATGAAGTGTGCAAAAACCAGAAAATTATTAATATGCCATTATTTGCCACCGAGGCACTTGCAGTGCTCATTTTTAATCAGTAGAAGCGTTCCGTAGCCCCGTAACTTCTGAGAGTGAAATTTGATTGTTGATTGAATGTTATTCTTTGTGAAGTATAGCCTGTCAGATGTAAGGAAGCACCCTATTCAGCAAACTGTAATATAGGGAGCGTCTGGATGCTCGGTAGTACTTAGGAACTCATTCTTAGTAGAGGATTGAAATGTACCCCTGCTGAATCAAGTACCTGCATTAAACTTACTCTGGTTTGGATCTAATTACTCAAAGTGCCTGGATCGTTGGTTTTCAAAATTCATCAAAGTTGAGAGAGATTATTAACCATGGGGTTTTAAAAAACCTTTGTAGCAGGTATCTACACATTCATACAAGTGATTTTCATTTGTTTAGAGAGATTTCCTCATTGAAGTTTTTGTTGTTATTGCGTTCTTAATGTACTTGAGGTGATACATGTAAGAATGAATTTTCACCCTTCTGAATTCAGGCGCAGTTTAGCGAATTGTTTTATTGTGATGGAATTTTCTTCCCCACATTTTACTTCTTATCACCCATGTGGTGAATGTGTTATCGCTAAGCTCGAATAAACGGTATAAATTATAGAACACTAGTTCCTAAGGAAGGATCATCCCAAATAATGACGGTACTTGCCATCTCCTGTTGGATGATCTCACCTTAGCTAGACCATCACTGAGGAAAACTCTTGTTCAGTCTCCCCGCTAGATCTATTTATTCGAAAGTGTAGTGCAACTCACCAGAATTAGCTTGTACATATCAAGTTTTTTTTACATTCCTGTAATCTGAGGTCTAGAGCTTTATTATACTTATTCTTCATTGAGCTGTGGCATATTCCAGATACTCCTTATTTACTCAAATCCTGATTTGGACTTCCGGCCACATCAAGGCAAGTCCACTTCTTCGAAAAAAGATTGCACCTATCTTGTTAATAGGGTGGGTTATCTGAACTAAAATACCATTGGGAAATCTTACTCAACGTTACATGGTAGTTTTATTCTAATTTTTTTTCTCGTGGAGTTAAAATATCCTTGAGAAAATATCTGGGCCCTCCTATTTGGCTCTACAGTCAAATTAAGGGGATTCTAATGCAGAACTATTCGATTCTGCCAAAACAAGCTCTCGGCACGGGCGTTTCTTTTGACGAGCTCTTTACATGGAATGAACTGTACATGCGGTGTAGCTTGAAAAACTTCACCGCAAGCAGCGTGGCAGAAGAGTGTGGATATCAAACAAGTGGGACATCAACTCATCATACTTCGTGCAGCAATGAATATGGAGTTTACAACCAAAAGACACTCCATGGTATTATGCTGGATTTTCGCTAAAGTTATGGCTCTATCAACTCGTGAGTATGCTTGATATAGGCCAGCACTACGTCTCCTCCCTCATACACGTTTTTCTCTTCTCTTCACTGGAGGACTTTGAATACAATTATATATATATATATATATATATATATACTAGCTTCCCATCGCACCTCTGGTTTTGATCAAGGGAAAATTCCGAGTGAAAAAATAGATATTACCGGTGAATTTGATACAAACTTGGAGCACATACTATAGAACTTTGAAGCAAAACTGTCATAAAGTATGCCAAATAATGAATGTTATCAACCTTGTTCTATTGAATTTGTGAGTTTAAGCTCTTTGGATCACCATAGAAATCCCGTGACGGAAGGTTGACTTGAGTGGACCAGCTGACACACATGACTGCCTTCTGCCTGGGAGAAATTTTATTCCTGAGAAAAGTTATAGTGCCAAATGAGGTGCGCACACAGTGAAAACCAAAAGCAGTGTTCACGTTTAGTATGCCCAATGAGTAACTTTTTACCGGACTCTCAAGCTCTTTCTTATCTTGCACGTCCCTCAATCATCAAATGTAATTCCAGTGGATACAGGGGATAAGTATACACCAGTGCTTCAAATATACCCCATTCGTTTTCATCTTCACTTCTTGAAGATGTGTGTGTGGGTTTGTCTTACATCTCCGTATGACTCTATGGATATAAGGGTTGGCATATCTGCTGGCAGGGTAAAAGACAACAAAAACCGCAGCATGCAGTGATGACTCCCACAAGTCCAGTGCCATGTTCCAGTGTCTAGTAAATCGTTTTTAATATAAAAAACTCGGTAACAAAATCTGGTGTTATCGAACGTCGATTATTCCGGGTAGTGTGACTCACCACTTGTCAATGGATTTCGATAATCTGGATATCATTAACTTGAGTCATGAGCTTTTGTGAAGTCCGATGTTGTTTATGGCTAGTTATGGAGCTCGCTCTAAGCAAGAATATCTTGGAAAAACATTGGTTGTAAATGTCAACAATACACTTTGAATAACAAAACTGAAAAAGTGCTTTTGTCTTGCCGCACGCGGTAAATGTTTTGGATTTTGAAGTAATCGGTGAAAACATGCGAATTAGTTCTCTGATTTGGTGTTTGGTTTATGCTTGTGAAGACATACAGTTGCCATGTTTGAAGCTTTTTATGCGAGTATACACCCGACCGTACACTGATGATGTCTACCCGTATGATAACGAAACGTTTGCAAGTCAGTTGCCAAGCCCGGCGTACCAATCAACAGCCACCTGAGCAACTACCAGTAAGCTCACCAAAGCTACCATTATTTCGACACAATGCACACTTTTTCTTGTCACCTGTCGTACCGCCGCATCCCCACAGGTTTCACTTCTTTCAATGGAGGGTGAAATTCAGCAACAGTGCACGTTGACGCCATTGAGAACCGTGGAATTAGTCTAGGAAGACCCGGTACATTATAATATCCGACCCATTCGAAAAATATGGACTACTTTCCCAAAGTAACTCTGATGAATACAAATTGGTGAGCCTCCTTTGAAAGCATGTGTAAAGAACGAAACAAATCTTAAAGTGAACTTGGCGAGCCAACAGCTGTTCCAATACCGCAGAAGAAGATGATCCAATTGTGTAATCAGGAAATAAACCTCCTACAAGTGACCAATTTAATCGGGTTTTAAGGTCGTTCATGTTTTAAGAGAAGCAAAACGAACGTTTATTTTTTAAGGGCATGGTCATAGACATAAAAAGTAAATGCGGGCGATGAATGTGGAAGGGTTACAGGAGAATATCAGATAAAAAGAGAGAAGCGTCTCATTCGAAGTCATCTCATCAACATTTTCAGTCAGACAAGACTAACCCCGACGTATGTAAGAATGTTTGCTATGAGAACGCGCGTGAGGAGACCAACAACCGGGGAAAGGACAAACAATGCTGAATGCTCTTCAAGGCGCGGTTAGCACAGTCAAGATTCGCACATCAGGCACGGATGGTCCGACATACTGGATCTGGTATGAGATTCAATGGGAAGAATGTATCACGCATGCAAGTATCGTAAGTACGCACACAGCCCACAATGGCAAGCAAACACAAGTCACTGACCGTGACCTTTGGGAGTCCCGTTCCGGACTTGGCGGACTGAGAAAAGCATTTCCCTTAATAAAAATGATCTTCGGTCGGTGGACCAAAAAATCGATATCACAACTGATTGCACGTAGGACTGAGATGATAGTGACGGGATATCCATCATCACCATACTTCTGCTTCTTCTTATTCCACGCAATCAATCCGCGCCCATCCGAGACTATGCTTACGTCTGCTAGAGTAGCCCGGGCTACCAGACTGCGATTAGGTCAGGCTTGATGAAAGGCACTCTCAGCCACTCGAAGACGGTGTATCCCAGGCAACGGATGTTTTGTGATTTCCATTGCAATCCCCTTTGACGGGCACATCCCCAGTGATTCGGCAGGAGTGGAAAAATGCATCAAACTCTCCGACTGACCATGGTCTACATGACAGAAGATCAACTGGCCACAATGGCTACGTCGAGCACTTCTAACTCTCGTCCTAGGCAGGTTGCATCGGAGCTGCATACCGCGGATGAACATCCGAGTAAACTCGTTCTAGAAAGGGCTGAAGCGATCATCTCTCGTAAGCTGCGGTTGTCAACGCCGTTTTGCAGATTATCACCTCAAGTAGCCACCAGCTCTTCTTTGGTGTTCACGCATGCCCGATGGACTCGGATTGGAAGACTGAGATCCCGAAAAATCTTTCCAAGTGCGGAATTGTTAACCACATTGCGTAGTGCTCGGTACTGGGTAGTAAGAATTTCTTCGGTACGCGTTGTTTGCCCATCGGGATTGTTCACGCATGCCCGATGGACTCGGATTGGAAGACTGAGATCCCGAAAAATCTTTCCAAGTGCGGAATTGTTAACCACATTGCGTAGTGCTCGGCACTAGGTAGAAAGAATTTTTCGGTACGCGTTCTTTGCCGCATCGAGATTGTTGCACTCAGACTTGGGATACCAAATCCCACTTGTCGTTTATCGCCACAGATGTTTCTGGTCGGGGTGCCCTTCAGTAGACGTAGCCAGTCACAAATAGATTGCCTGGTGTAATTGTTCAACCTTTTAAGCGTGTGTTGGTGGACTTGGCCGGGTACGGGCGGATATGTCAGCCTCGTTATTAGGTAGTTCCTCGTGATCTCCATTATTTGATGCGCTTCAACAGGGTACGCGTCATCTCATTGAGCAGTATGAGCCAATTCCGTCGATGGTTGAAGACCCTTATTTCCTTGAAAGTACAGGGAATGCCCAAATGTGTTACGGTGTCCGTCGGACCCAAAAGAGTGATGAGCTCCTCGGCGAAGGTGTCGTCCAATGTTTTCTGTCCCCACAAATCACCGTCGTTTTTGTCTTTTGGACGTTTGTCTTCATAGCAGTTCTTCCAAACTCGACCGCAGGAGCGAGTCTGACTTTCTGCACACTCGACCTAGTCGTCAGCAAAATCATCCACAAAGGTGTCTTGGAACTGGTAACCTAGTTGCGGCATCTAAAAACCTCACCTATTGTCATGATGAACAACAATAGGAAGAGTGCACCTCCTTCCCTTCGCTTCTGTGGCAGTGAACCTGGGAATTTGGGGAAAACCGCCACTGCATTCGCATAGGACTGTGCGATGTATCGAACCAGGGGTGATGGTATCCCAAACGCTTTGGCAGATCTGAAGATTGAGTTACGTGAAGCCGAATCAAACGCTTTCGAGATATCAACAAACGCCGAGCTGAGGCTAGAAGCCGTCGATGGAGATTGATGAATCACGGCAAATAACAGCTATGTGGCTTTCAAATAACCATCTCGATATAAAAATGAAAACTGGAGTGAGGTAAGTTGTAATTTACGGCTCCATCGATCATCAACCACTTTATGCAGCCATCGGACAAGAGTGGAGATTGGTCTCAATTGGTCTAGTGAGGTCGGATTTGGGACCTTCGGAACTAGGTTAATACGAGCACGCCACAGATGTGGGGGACAACCCCCAGATAAAAAGAATAAGTTGAAATACTCAGCGTGTGAATTAGCATTGAACTGGCATGAGCTCATCCAGACCTAGGGACGAATTGCCCATAACACGGATCGTACGGCCGAATTTCTCCCCTGTAAATGGCTCGATCAGACTCGATTCGGCTCCTTCAATGACCCACCGATCACAGTAGACGCTGCGTCTTTTCGTCTTTGGTGGTATAGGGTCTGGATGGCGGTGTAGTTGGCTCGGCGGCTCCACTTTCGGTTGATCGGGATCCAATGGGCTAAATGACGGCGGCGTCGATTTACTACAGTTTTTCAAGTGTGTGGAAGTGTCCTGTAGGTGTGGAGGTCCAGAAGCGACAGGACTTGCTCCGGTGTCATGATGCCAGACTGCAACCCTCGGGCAAATGCCAGAAGGTCAACACTAGCGAGCGAACGGTCAGTATGGGATTCCAAGAGTGACACGGTGCAATCCACGGTTTGTTTAAACCAGACGCTGTAGTCATCGGTTTCTGACTAGTCGGCCGTCACTTGACCGATAGTTTGGTCAGGTTCACCAGATGATGATTCGTACTGTTGTGTTTGCCAGTTAAACACCCTTAACCTGGTTTTGATGCTGATAGCCGATCGACCACGAAAACACTGCCACACTCTCGTGAACAGCTCGATTTGCGTGCCACAAGATGGATATAAATTGTTAGCCAGGCGTGACAGCGATTGGGGCTCTTGCCGGGACCAGCGGGTACCGGAATAATTCACTGAGACAAGCTTATCTGCATTATGCTGGGTGGGATGTGCGTGCCAGCGATGTTGACTTGGGTCAATCTTCGTCGGAAAAAGGCGGGAACAACCAGCGCAGGCCAATTGGGAAACCATGTTCGTACCAACACTTTCATTGTCGTGAACTAGATGGTGGGCTACCAAGCCAGCTTTCAATTTGCAGCACTTGCCACATTCCTCACACGTGAACCCAACGAGTCTCTCCTGTGTATTGGTTGGAACTGGTGCGGAGGCGCCAGATGATTTGTAGCATACATTGTCGAAAGTAACCAGCACATTGAAACCAAACGGGGTGGTTAGACCTGTCTGGAGTTGCTGAACTCTTAGCTCACCCAGGCTGACATCCAGGCTACCCGGTCGGCACTACGAGGAGGTGGTTCAGCGTGCCGACTCCTTGCTAAACCTAAGATGTCGGCTAAAGGTAAACGTTTCGGTTTTATTTGATCGTCTGTCACCCGAGGACTAAACTTTCGGTTCAATACAGCTCTTATATTTAAATGATAGACATCGAAATCAATAAATATGAACAGCTACTCATTAGGAATTTCGGTACACGGCCGCTTGTCATAGAAGGAGCCATTCTAATATGTCATTATTATGCTCGTATTATGCTCGTATGCGGACCACAATTAAAACCTCCCCGATGTTTTAGTCCTGAAACGAGAACATTATTGCGTTTCAAGTCGCCACATGGATTCATGGTGGTATGGCACCACTCATGCTAATAATAAAAGCTTACCAAAACTTTTGCTTTTTGTGGCTCATCAGGTAGACCCAGTATCCGCATTCTTACCAGCACGAACCAAATATGCAAATCAGTATTGTGTTCCGTACATGCGTCTGCTTGCTCAGTCACTGTGTATTGAATGTTGCAACTTTTTGTCCCCCTGCTGAATCACCTTTCTGCACTGTAACCATGCTATTTCAGGCTTACGTGTGCATAGCCTTTCCATCATCCGTTGGCGACAGCTCACATGTACGCGCTAACTTATGGTGAGAATGGCGATAGTATACGCATACAAGCGTAAGTATAGGTAGAAAAATTCCAGCTGCTAAACATGCGCCTGCAGAGTGAGTACATTAGAATGTCAAAAGATTACTGACTCTCCCGTACAACTTTCAGTTGCAAACTTTCAGTTTCAAACTTTCAAGTACTTTGTACACTAAAAATACGCAAGACCGAATATCATTGCGTTAGGTTGCCATGTTCGTAAATTCCTTTATGGTGAGAGAACGCATCCAATAGACTCAACTAGAGGCCAATTGCCGATTGTCGGACATCTTGGTGGATTCAAATGTGGACCGTGCAAAGGCTGCTGCACACTGTCATCTACATATCCAATTCAACCTTGTATAAAGCTCACAGTACAACGACTGTTGATATCAAAATTTTACCATATAACCAAACTTATCAAACTCACTCCAAAAATTTGCCATCAGTAGGTGTTGAATAATAGCAGTCACAAGAGCCCCTCTCAGGACCACCAACATGAATTCCGTTGTAACTGCAACTTAAGTAACCTGTACAACGAGCAATGGATAGGTCTACAGGCGAGTATGCTGGTAGTATATTCCAGCGTGATCAGTATTCTGAATTGCTGCAGAAAAATGGAGGCATATCTGACTTGGTGCTTACTGAATACTGAAAACTAATGGCTTCGGATGATAAGGCAGTCCAGTGCGAGGTTTCATTATCCAGGTCCAATCACTCATGGAGGCTTCATGAATGATCCTTTGCCTCAGTAAGTTTGATCCCTTAAGATGACAGTCTCACAGCTTTTAACAGTTCTCAACTTTCAACTGCTGCTGATTTTAGGCGTGGTTAGCTCGTTCCGTCGTGCACCATATAAATGGCCATCAGAACGCCGTCAGCTATTGACAAGTGGAACAGCGAAATACAGCCTGATTCGTAATTCCGGGCCAAAACATCCAAACACGAACGATATTCACCCGGAAAGCAGTCTTAATCACTTCTATATCATACTCGTTCGTTAACGCAAATTAAACGGAATAATCCGTATCAAAATTTCACGCAAAATTTCGCTGACGTCAAGTGAAGACATCCATTTCAAATTACAATGATTCTCCGTCAAAAATATGGGTGCCAGTAAACTGATGTTTCAGGCACCTTAATAGATCAGTCAAAAACATTCCTCGCACATCAGGTGATAAGCTAAATAGTATACGATGCCATACAGAGTAATGCATTCACTTCAGCTACTTACTCAGGTCGAGAGAAACAACCAATCGTGATATCCCATACTGCCTCGGATAAGAAAATCTGGTGGCTACAGCAATGTCGTATGACATTTCTCGAAAAAAGTGCAATTTTCCCATTTATTTAAAGCGTATCGTAATGAAGCGGTCCATCGTGCTGAGAAAAGCTTGTTAAAAACCCAAACATTACTGAAGGCCACTAATCAAGTACAGAGTTTACGGCTGAAAATGAATACTAATGGTCCCCTCAAAAATAATATCGCTTTCAGTAAACCTGTTGCAACCCTCGAAATGTCTTACATGATAAAGGCTACCCTAAACATCAAAGGCTAATCCTTAACTCAAAAGAAATGAGTCTAAACAAGAAGGCTACAAACAACTTAGTTGAAAATATAACGTATGAATAATAGGTGATAATACCCTTCAAGCTATAAAACATACACTACTCACTGCCATAAGTCGAAGATTTGAGACACTAGGCCCGAAATGGTTTCTCTTTCCCACAAACTGTACTCCTACATTTAAGTGACAAAACAAATTAGTCAGTAACCGCGTTCTGTATACGGAGTGCTATGTAATCCGAAGGGGGACGTGCCTGTTCGTGTGTAAATACGATCAGTGCCGATGCTGGAGGAATCTGAGCCTAAACCAACTGGTCAAGTCATCACAACCAGGCTCAAGCTCTGGAGACATTTTCACATGTGATACATCTTCGAAACATTTTTCAAAGCTTATGAGACTCGACTTCTACACAAGCACTGTAGATAGCACAGCCATTAGATCACTTAATAATCATACAGATAACCTTACCCAACCTTATGAACCTTATGAAGAGGATCTTTAGCTGTTTGCCTCCATAAAAATCATTCTGTCTGTCTTATTGCCTCTAAAGTCTAGGGATTAAATCAGACATGACATCCATCGTATCACTCTGAGGGGATCAACAATTTCCTACTTACTCAGAAAGGTGCTGCAATTCGTCTCGAACCGAACATTTTGACTGCGTTAGATAACAACATGAGTTCAAGCAGAAAAACGGGTTTCGTTGACGAATGCCGTTAATACGAATTAAATACGCTGCTCTAGAAAGTAGTGTCCGCGCTAGTTTGTCATACGATGTCAAACTGTGTCAAACGGTGTCCAACGTGCTTATGCTATATGTTTCGCAGCCGCATTTGCCTAGACTTGCGATCCAAAGAATGCGTTCGCTACTGATGACGTCAGAATTATTGCCACTTTTGCTTCACCTAGCCCCCTTTGCTTGGAATTTTGTGGCAAGCAGTTGTGTACAAGCTCCAACTGCTAATGTACTAACGTATGCATGATTCAGGTTGGTTGCGGGCACACCTATAATTTGTTAGCTGAAGAGACGTGGGTTCAAATTTTGAACAAAAAACTGAAAGTTAGTTAATTTTTCCCGGTTTTTTATTAAGAGGGCACACCACGGATAATTGCAGCTGAATTTCAACCCACTGGGAAGATGGTTTCCCAGACAGTTCGATTTTTGTTTGACCACACAGATGGCTACATGGCTGAATACATCAGTTATTCACACATACATATTTAGCCTGTATTCATGACGAAGGGGGAAAGTGCCAATGTGTAGAATGCTTATTTGTTACTCCAAGTCAAAAATCATATATACTGCACCTCTATTGCGATGCTTGAGTGAACACAGCAAATTACACCTACGAGTTTATCCAAGTTGATGGTTAATTCTGTCAAAATTCGAAGACATATGTACAAATGAATTCGTTGGGACAAATACGCTGTTCGTAAGAGATTCCAATGTTCCATTGTTTCCCGACGTAATAATGAATAGGACAGTAGTGTGATCAATACTCGCAAGCCCTGCAATGGCCGACCAAATGTTCGCGCGTAACTTGGGTTGTACCAAGGATAGTGGAAACAGATTAGTAATGTAATAATATAGGCATATCCATACATCTTATCGCAGTTACCAATCCATCTCTCTAATTACATAACTTCAATTATTTAGTTCCAAAGGACAGTTCTGATTGGCGTGGTTCAAGAAGCTCAAAAAGTGTTTTAGCCGAATAATAGAGGTACAATATTCTGGCCAAACGGATTATTCTTCTCCGCTCGCTTTTTTGTCAAATCATCACATCACTTTAAACTGCGGGTGGTATCATTCCGCACGAAAGAACGTGACGCAAGCAATTGCCACCTCATAACTATGGCACCTGCAAATATTTCTCGGGAAAGCGGATCAATATAAACTGTTTTTGAGATTTCCCCATAGGAGCGTTCTTTAAAGTACTAGGACTCAATTACACAGCTTTTTGTACAAAGTTTACTTGCAGGAATCGACAAGACTCTTAGTTGAGGCCTAGTCGCCTTAGTAATGGAGAGGAAACTGTGCACGTATACAC